AGTGTCATTTCAAACTTAATAAAAAAAAAAGTAGAATAAAAAGAAGCTATATGTTATGAGGTTTATTTCAAGTTGATTATTGATTGATTGAAAGTAAGTGATGTATAATATTGAGATTATTATTTTAATGATGGCTTACTTTATTTCAAGAAGTAGATTTATATACCTAATGATGCTATATTTTGAATGCACATACTTCAAAAAAGACATGACATCCTAATATTTGGATACTTAAGGTATGAGAAGATTTTAGAACAAATCTCAAAGACATGATTTTGGACAAGTTTGGATTCTGATATTTGAACTTTTGTGTGTTCTTATGAATCATGTCGATATAATAAAATATACAATGTAGTATCTCTTAGGCTATTATAGCCAATTCTACTACCTATGGCACATTGGAATTAGGTGACTATAGATCTCATTACATATTTGCTACAAATACCTCACAATGATATTGTAGTTGTTGTCTTTGTGGACCAACTCTAAAAGAAACTTCACTTTGCTATAGTCTCTGATATTAATGATCCAACACTTACACAAATCTTTTTGATATTGTCTTTCATCACTACAGATTACTTCATGTCATTATTTGAAATTGAGACTTGTGCTTCTTAGGAAGTTTTTGACAAGCCTTATTCATCCTATTACGTACATGACTTGCCATGTCTATAGCCTTTTATCCTCAAATAAATTAACAAATGGAGTCTACAAATTAGACCCTAGAAGATATGCTATGGATATTTGTAGCAATTCACCATAATGTCTATGATGAATATTTGATGCCATTAAAATTTTCCTATAATAATAACACTCAAGCAAGTACCAATTATTCACCATTCTTCTTGAATACCAATCAGCATCCAATTATATCAGAAATTCTTCATTGTCCCATTGATACCAATAATTTAATAATCTAATAATAGAAGAGTTTATACAATGACTTACAATAAGCTTGCAAGAAGCACAATATTATTTTTTTATTACATAGAATTAATAGAAGCAATATGCAGATAACCACCACCAATAGAAGACTTTTTGAGAGGGTGACCAAGTATTACTCTCCAATGTCAACCTTTCACTTGTTACATCAACCCAAGTCCATAAACTAACACCTTAATGGCTTGGACCTTTCTACATTTCTGCAATAATTTTTGATGTTATATACCGCCTTGAGCTTCTACCATATATTTGAGTCCATCCAATCTTCTATGCTTTATAGCTCAAAGAATTTCACATTGAACTAAAGCACTTTTCGGACCGATACTAATCACCACCACCATCACCGGTTGCAATTGATGACCAATAAGAATATGAAGTAGATAGTATTTTGGAGCATTGCTACCTTTGCCTTAAAAATGGACATCTGCAATTTCAGTACAAAGTTCTCTAGAAAGGTTATCCCATCTACAATGCAACGTAGAAACCTGCATAGAACCTCATTCATTGTTAGGAAAATATTTAAAAATACTATCGTGAATAAAATGAGGATATTCTATATTAATAGAAGAGAATTAACTATAACATGGCATGTATAGGATATTGGAATTATTTGTACATAGAGATATGTGTGTGGAGTTGTTTTTGAGAAATTTTTAGAATTTAGTTTAGAATAGTGGTTTATGTAGGATCTACTATAGATCCTTTTAGAAAGGCTTAAGACAGTTATCAAGTGGAGTCTATTTCTAAAATTTTCTAAGAAAGTAGTTATTTTAGTAGAATCCACCATTAGGAACATTCTTAAAAATTCTAGGATATTTGAACAAAGTATAAATATGACTAACTAAAGCCATTTGGACATTTGGTCAAATATGGCTTCAAATTCTTTCTCTTAATAAAGCTTGGTTTTTTTATTCTATTCTATTTGATTTTGTTTGATTAAATTTGGTTTTATTTTCTTTTAGTGAGTCCTATCTTTCAAGTTCTATTCTATTTATTTACTTTCAATTTTATTCTATTGTACTTGGTCTTATATTATATTGAGATCTTTGTTATTATGGATTTTGTAAGGTTTTAAACCTTAAAGAATCCAATCTTGTTTCATTGAAGATCCATTCTATATTCTATACATTTTTTTTAAGCTATATAAGACAATGGATATATCAAGAAGAAAACAAATGCCACTTCTTTTTATAAAATTAAACAAAAAATAAGAGTTTAAGATTAAAAAAATCTTGAACTCAATATAATGCAAAAATAGGCTAGATTATCTTATACATTGGTGTAGATTTAGTATTAATAAATATATGTAGAAATTATATAAGAAACTTTCAAATATAACAAAAAAAGATGATGCTTTTTATCAATAAAATCTATTAAAACAAAGAATTTTTTATTCTTTGTTTTAAAAGAAAATAAGTTTAATAAAGATTATATTCTATAAAAAGAAGTAGTATTTATCTTCTATTATTATTTATAGATTTTATATATTTATAGCATTAAAAAGATAGAGGATCAATAATTAATAAAGTCAACTCAAGAAATATTGTTTGTTGAGTTACTAAACAGCAAATTGAATTTCTTACAACCTTCAAGATATTATAATAAACATAAAGGCTCTTAAGAAAAATAATTTTTTATTTGAATAAATAATGAGATTTAATACTTCTAGAATGACAACCTTAGAAGAGACTCTTAAGGTTTGATAATATTATTGATGGTATTCCAAATATTTTGAAAGAAGTTACCAAGCCTATAATTATAAATAAATCACAAAATAATCTTTTTATCTTATTATTGGATACTATCAATGGTTGAAAAGACCTATCAACTATCTTTAAAGCAAATAAAGATTAGAATAAGTGATAAATATAATTTTCCACATTATGAATTTCTTTAATATAGTAATTATTTCTCCTTGAAGAACTTATTTTTACAAAGCGAGATATCATTATAGACATCAATATTACCATTAGTAATTAGGAAGATAAAAGGAGTTAAATAGAAATAAATAAATTTGATAACATCTTATAAAAATATTTTTTAAGAGCTTTATAGAAGTGGATTTTTTTTACAAGTATTTTTAGGTGATTAATAGATTAAAAACTTAGCCAACAAGTTAATCACGTATTGTATATGTTGACCACTTTTTTTACAAGTTCATTACATGTTGTATATGTTGGCTACTTATGGTAAAGGTTGGCCATGTAGCACACTTGTAAAAAACTTATCTTGCAAGTTAGACACATGTCATGTAATCTATAAGATGTTGCCACATAATTCTTTAATTAAGTTGTAAATATAGTGGCAAAAATAAGGCCTTCCTACGTCTTATCAATGCCTTTTTCATGTTCTTATTTAAGCTCCAAAATTTCTAATATCTTTGTATTTAAGAATAGTCATTTTAATTTCTTTCTTATATCTATCTTTAATTTGTCTACTTTTTCATTTTGAGTGTCAGAAGAGTGTATTTCTTCTGTAGAATTTTATTATGATTCATGTCCATGATGCATAGAGTCTACTCAAGACTTGATGAAAAATAGTACTTTTAATTTTTTATCTCCAAAGTTTTATTTCTATTTATAGAAGATTTTCTACAATGAATCTATGATATTTATTGCTTAATTGCACTATTGTACATTAATTAGGGCCATGCTTCTTAATCCTAGTGTCTAATTCCTATAATTTTAGGATCAATTATACTTAAGAAATAAATTGAGAAATTACAACTTTTAAGTGTTTTGATTGATTGAAATCTAAAAGCCTCCTCGAATTGGCTTTATACTAAGAAAAATAAGTCCAAAAGCCCAAAGAGAAAAAAATAAGACAAAATGCAATTTTTTCTTACATAGTATGAATAATGTTGTCTCCCAAAATTTGTATTGGATTTACTTCAAAGAAGTGGTTTTTAGAAAAACACAAGAAGTTAGGTTGAAAATTGCCTAAAATAATGATTTAAAATAAGAAACCAAATATTTATACTTCTCAAAATTTTATGAATTAAAGTAAGGATTGACATATTTAGACTTGTAACAAAACAATGATTTGGTCCATTCAATTGCCTCTTCTTACTTTATATTATATCCAAAAACTTCCAAAAAAAAATTATTCACCAAACTAAACCAAGTAAACTTAACAAAAAAATCTAAACCAAAATCGTCCAAAATGAACTTTCAGATATAAAATGCTGGTGCCGGAATGAGAATGATCTGTGAAACATGCAGCAAGCGGAGGCCGCTGGTGTGATGGCCAAGTGACGCTTAGCAACGCGTTCACTGCGGGCTGGCGGTTGACATGGGTGACGGAAATCCCTCTTCGAAAGCTCTTCAATACATCGCCACCGTCGCCGCACGAACTCTGGCAAGTGGGTGTATGCTACCTAGCGCGTGGAAGCTAGGATGATTTGCGGTGTCAGCGCTTTAAAGAGGCGTGACAGATCTTGGATCGGAAGTTTCTGTTAGGCATTGAATTCTGCCGAGCTGCTTCTGCCTCTTCTGGGAAGTGGTGGTCACAGATCAGTGGTAATGAGCGCGCCCTTCTTAACGCCCAGGGTGAGCCTCGGGATGGCTTAGGGTGCGAGTCCACTCGAAGATTAAGTTTGTTTACAAAAATTCTAGACAATAGATCCTTTTCGAAACGCACAGAATTGTTTGATTGAGATCCACTTGGCTAGGCACCGAGTGAGATGATCCTCGAAAAACATAGAGTGCTGGTCAGTGACCTTTAAACTATCAGGCGATGATGGCAGACACCACCGTAAAGTATCTATCAAATAAATTCTTACTGAGGTAGGCGCATTGATCAATAAAGAGTCACCGAGACTTGCAGGATCTGGCGGAATCAGGAGCCTGAAACACGAGCTTGCGAATCCAGGAAGTTGACGCAGACAGTAATTCTAATGACAACCCATGTTGCTCCAATTCCACCTGATGGGCAGCCCTTCTGGAGCCACAGCAGCAACAGCAGAAGCATGGAACTTTCCACCTCGTTTCCACCCAGGTTCTATTGACGCAGCTGACTTCGGATCCGAAATCTATCGATCGCCAAGGATAAGCTGTGTTTTAAGTGCAGTTTCGTCCGATTCCAACCTTGACTCCGACCCTCATTGCGAAATCTGTGATTGAGCACGCATGGTGGGTAGCTACGTCTAGATTTGTGCTGCGGTAGGATTGGCGAAATACAGTGGTTCCAGTTCAGTCCAGGAGTTCGAGATTGATCTTGTCGTGGATGAGTCTGCGACGGTAGTGGGAAATGATGTTCGGCTTGCATGATGCCATATGGTTTGCAGTTGCTGTGTCGTTGCTAGCATCTCTTGCCCAAGCTGGAGATGGTAATGTCGTTGCTCTCGAAGCCCCAAGGATGGTGCGTTTGATGTGCAACCAAGCTCACGATCGCGACTCTTGTGTGGCGTCTCTTGCCGCGCATCCCCTCGCTGCCACGTCCGGGCCGCGCGACCTTGCTAGCATCGGCATCCAAACAGCATTGGGAGGAGTGGGGAGCTTCTATACGTACGCCACAAGTTTGCGGTCCGGAGCTAGTGGCAGAGGAAAAGAGTCTGCCCTCACTGCATGTGAGTTTGTCCTTCAGGACTCCCAAGATTATCTTAAACAAGCGCTCGCAAGGCTCGCCACTCTCAACCCGCTGAAGTTCAAGCAGCAAATAGAAGACACCTTGACGTGGATGAGTTCCGCATTGACGAACCACATCACTTGTTTGGATGGTTTTAGCGAGGTTGGCGGGGGGCTGAGAGATTCGATATTGACCAGATCTATGAGTGTCACGACATTGATTGCAAATTCCGTCTCGCTGGTTGGTTCCATCAGCAGCTTCGGAGTTGCGAGTTTGGATAATGTTGACAGTCACAATCGTCGTCTGCTTCAAAGTGAGCTCAGCGACAGTCTTGTCTACGAGCTTGGAAACGACGACTTCCCGAAGTGGATGCGTCCCGCAGATCGGAAACTAATGCAGGCGGGTGGTGATAGAACAAGATTGACGATCGTGAATGCCATTGTAGCCAAAGACGGCTCCGGAAAGTATAAGTCCATCCAAGCGGCCATTGGTGCGGCGCCGAAGAACAGCTCAAAGAAATGGGTCATCCACGTCAAGGCTGGTGTGTGGAGTGAGTATGTGGAGGTGCCGAAATCTGCGAAGAATATGGTTATTATGGGAGACGGTATTGGCGACACTATTGTAACGGGAAGCAGAAGCGTCGTGGGCTCCAATCTCACAACGTTCGCAACCGCCACCTTTTGTACGTCATGTAAACCATTTCATCTTCACTGATTCTTTATAGAGTGCAAGCTTTTCTGGGGTATCAACAGCCAGAAGTGAAGCGGCTGATTACAGTTATAATTTAAATCTTGTTTGAAATAGTTGCGCAGATGTAATAGCGCCAAATTTTCTGGGGCTAGATTTCACAGTTCGCAACACGGCTGGCCCCTGGAATCACCAAGCTGTAGCGCTCAAGGTCCAGGGTGACAAGACCGCTTTCTGGCGGTGTTCCTTCGAAGCGTACCAAGACACGATGTACGCTCACAGCAACCGGCAATTCTACAAAGACTGTACCATCTCCGGCAAGGTTGACTACATATTCGGCAATGCGGCTGCTGTGTTTCAAACCTGTACTTTGCTAGGCCGCGTGCCGATGCCCGGGCAACAGAACACCTTCACGGCGCAGGGTAGGACCACAAACTCTCAAAACACAGGATTCTCGTTTCACAAGTGTATCGTGGACGCGGCCCCGGAGCTCAAAAGCCTGAAGAACCAGGTCGTGAGTAGTTACTTTGGCCGACCGTGGAAGGAATTTTCCAGAACAGTATTTCTCACATGCTCAGTAGGGAGTGTAATCAGCGCTGAGGGATGGCTACCATGGGATGGCACCTTTGCGCTCAAGACTCTCGTCTATGGCGAATACAAGAATATTGGCGCTGGCTCGGATACGTCTCGTCGCGTGAAATGGTCGACTCAAATCCAAGACGTAAGAGTGGCGAATAAGTTTACTGTTAATTCTTTTATTACGGGTGAAACCTGGCTGCCACAGACTACCATAATTTACAACCCGCAGCTGTAGAAATCTATTGGATTGAACTCCTAATCAAGAACAACAATTTCTTAGTCATGTGGTACAAGAGTTGACAAGATGTTTAGATATTAAGCTTAAGACCATTATATTATATTAGTCTAGTAGTAATAGGTTAGTGAAAAAAATACCAAGGACCTGATTCTTTAAAAAAAAATTATCGATAAAATAAAAATTCCAATTAGTATTATTAATTTTAGTTCAAAAATTGATCAAACTAGTGGATTCAAAATACTACATTGAATTTTTTTTATAATACTACTTATGTAGATTATGATTTAAAATAGAATTGATTTTATTCATTGACTCTGATGTAATGTCTTTAAAATAAATTAGAAAACTTTGATAAGAATTAGATGAATCATGAAAATTTTAAAAATTGGTCTACTTGAATGAATAGGATAAATTACACACCTAAAATCACCAACTGTAATCTCATTGAAAAGGAGGTATAGTCAAGGGAGCCAGTAATTATTTAGAAAATGACGATAGTTTGTGAACAGTTTCTTCACCCGTTACAAATAGCTGCGATTTGCTTCTGCTGGAAAGTGTCAATTTATAATACATTTTTCCCTTAACTTTTACAATACGATTGAATATGAACAAATACAGGGAATAGTAACAACACCTCTGTACAGTGAAAGAATTTAATGTTTCCCTTTTTTTCACTGCTATCAATGAGAGAAAAAGATACACTCGCAGTTATAAGAAAGACAGAAGAACGGTTTCAATCATTGCACCATCTGCTTTTGCTGATCTTGTCGGTTGGTAATAAAGTTCACTGTGACCAATGAATAAACGGTACACGTAGCTATATAACATGCTGGCAATTCAACTGAGGACTATCTATCTGATTAAGAAACTGAACAAATTGCAGCTAATTGTCACTTCAACAACGCACAACATCATGCCTATTGTTTGTCTCACAAGTGTACCTGCATCGAGGCATTAAGTCAATTCCCTTCTGATCGAAGAACCGTTGAACTGACCAAGACTAAAGTTAACAATCTGCGCGTCTACACCAACTTCTCGCTGTGGCTCGAAAGGGTTCACCATGATGCTCCAGACAATTTAATTGAGAATTACACGAGAGCACAGATTATCAAGACAATAATTGAAGCTGACAGTGGGCTTGTAGTCAAACCTCCATTCTAGCTCTAGTGATCCTGAGTAAAAGTTAGCAGCTTGCAAACTGATATTTAGAAGCGATAATTAGTTGGGTCGTGGTAGACCTGAAACATGTTTGAGATCTGAAATATACTTCACACCTCCTGTACTTCAATACGATGATTATGTGACCGGGTTGAAATAGGAGAGAAACATAGGAGGATGCAGATGCACATGCATTTCTTGAGACTTTCCCGGGGCTGCCAAATGCGGAACTGGTTGCAGACACTTGTCAGTGAAAGGGATTTATTGCTTTGCCATAACTGAAGTCGCCGCAATCATCAGAATGAGATGTGTCCACGGGTTTTTCAACCTGTTCAAAAATATCCAAATGGCGAAGCCCATGGTGAAATAAGCATTCACTGCAAAGGTGAGGTTGCTACTGATTTTACAATTTCTGTACCGACAAAGTCATGCAAAATTTTCAATTTGGAATTGAAACAAAAACGGCTAGAATCATAAAACACGAAGAAGAAAGACTAAAGAAACCAGAACTGAATGCTAAAACACAATAATAGCCATGTCATGGAATAATGCGGGGTGCAAATTCACATACCACAGTTTCGCCATACCTCAAACGGCTTGCGTCCAGATCACAATATACTCCGTCATACACAAATCCAACAAGCTCTCCATTCTGAAATGCCATCCAACCGAGCTCATAGTCAAATTCATCTATGCACAAGTTGACGCCAAAAGAGTCTGAAGGTGATTCCTCTGAAGGCGTTGTCGAAGAAGAAGTAGAATCCTTCTGATAACTAAAAAGGTAATTTTGTCTGTCGAGCTTCTTTCCATCTTTGAGTGCTTGAACAAGATGAGGGAAACCCTGCGCGTCCACAAGCATGAACCTGTTCGCCACAAGGTATTCAGAATACTCTTCGTCGTCAAATTTATCCTCGGAGCTAGTCTTTTTTCCTAGACCCTTCGAATTTTCCTCCGGTTCGAGAATTTCTGTCACGAGGGTGTCACCTCTACAACAGCCCCAACGTCCCCAATCGTAACGATTGACGAAAACAATTTCACGATCTTGATGATCATTGGAGAGGGAGGCACCTACAACAGCCGCTCGAAGCAACAGATCTGCCCCATCCACATCGACGTTGTGGCACACGAACCCAATGGGCGGGGAGGATGCGACGCCGCCAAGATATGCTACCTCCACCTTCCACAGGCCTTTGCGAGCCGGCACTCTGTATCGAAAAGCCTGCTGCAAGATGGTGCTATGGCAATCTCCAGGTTTATTCTTCGTATATGGGCCAAGCTGGCTATCGAGATTCTTCTCAACGGATCCTTGCATGAGAGAGTGCAACTGGCCCCAGAGCATGACTCCGCTGGAACAAGTGAAGAATGCCGGCTTCTTCCAAGTGACAGCATCATTGATCTCGTGGAATAAACACGACCCTGCTGCTTCCGCTGCCGCCTTCAACCCTTCCAAATGCGCTTGTAACTACCAAAAAAATACAAAAACCCAAAACCCCCGCCGCACACACCACCCCCACGACACCCCATCACGATTCACTCTAGAAATGGTTCAATCAGAACAGAGATTTCACGAAATGTAAAATGCCGTGGAATAAGCGCAGTAGAGGTGTGAAGTGAGGAGGGGAAGTGACGACGTTACCTCGGGGTAAGCGTTCCCGCCCAACGATTCCGATACATCGTGGCTCATGGCGATGGGGGCTGATCCACGAGCGTGCTAAAAAACAGAGGTGATCACGAAGCCAGGACTGGTTTGTGATCTAGTCGTATGAGGAAGAGGAGGACGAAGAAGATTGGCGAGCTTGGAGGTGGCGAGGTGTTCGGATCTAGCTATCACTCCCTTCGCATTCAGCTCACACTGCGAGTGCTCTGTCCGCTTCGGACCCTCGCAGCCGCTTGTTCATCTTCTTCATCATCCGCACCATTGACATCGGCGGCGCCAACTGCTCGTTGTTACGACCCGAAATCGAACTTCCTTGTGCCCCAGTGGCCCACCACCTTCGATACTAAAGTGTTGTGTTTCACGTTGTTGATATGGCTAGAAAGATTGTATGATGTGTTAAAGGAAATCCCAACTACTTCAGAGATCTCTAGGTCAAGTCATAGTGGCAACTGTATAATGAAATATGCTTAATCTTGTTGAATTTAGTGTTACATCTAGAAAGGCAGCCCATCCATGTTCTTTGGGGTTGTGTTTGTTGCTCCTGAAGTACAGATCACAAATTGAAATATACGTACTAGAAAATTTCAAACTTGCATGATCTCTGTGATTGAATGAACATTGCTTTCACAGATGTATTCTCTTTGGTGCCCTATCTGGGGGTTCATTCTTGGTTGTTGTGTTCACGGAAGAAAATTCATAGCGGATGAAGTCCACTTTTTCTCTACAAATTGTGAGTGTTGAAATTGGTGAAATGCTTAGAAAATCTTTTCACTAAAAAAATGAAGTATTAAATAAAATAAAAATGTGGTTTACTATTTGTTTGAGGGGTGTATAAGAGGAATAGTGACAGCTTGGAATGAAAAGTAGGTAGAATGATCTAGGTGTAATTTATGCAACCTAAACCAAAAATTTGTGGATGGCCTCTTCCGCTAAAATCAATCACTGGGGAACTTGATCACGTGATGATCTGTACTGTGGGGGTTGTCCAATAATTGCACTTGGGTGCTATGCAATAATTAGGGTTTAATAGATCAAAATGTTTTTTTAATTTGCACTTCCAAGCAACATGCATCAAGTTTTTTTTTTTTTTTTTTTTTTTAATGTAATATTTTTATTCTCTTTTAGTTTGGATCAGTCTGGATTGGTGGATTATAAATTTGATTTTGAATGAGAACAAAGTTCAAACATAGTGTTGTTATGTAGAAGATTCAGAGTGCATTTTTTCATACATGAAAGGGTGTAGACTTTAATCTTTACCAAGTGCAAACCTTTAATTCCTATGAAGGCTCCAGTTGTTGTACAACTAGAAATTATAGATTTTGACCACAAATGTCTGTACAAGATTTATTTTATAGTTTCAAAATAAGATGGTATAATATTTTTTATCTAATTTTTTAAAAATAAAATTATATATATATATATATATATATAAGGGGTTGTTAAAGCCACTATTACTTGCCTACAATATACACATCCAACTACAAGGATGTTATCTATTTAAGGAGCCTATACTTATATCCACCAAAGTACCTCAATGGCATGATGTCAAAGGAATGGTAAGCATGAAGATAATGTACCATTATAAGGTTGTCAAAATTAACAAGGGATATAGTAAGGTAGAGGGTACTCAAAAATTGGAAAAAACACTTAAGAAATAGTCAAGAAGTAGCATAGTATATAACAGCATAGTGCATATACCATGGCAATGGAAGACCATATGGAAACAACTTTACAAGAGATGTTACAATGTTACAAGGAACTTAAGCAAGTAGTTTGGAATTCACAACCTGAGTTCCAGACCCCAAATACAACAACTAAGCAAAAAAAATGGAAGAAAGCTATAGCTAGATCCCATGAGAAAATCCACTTGAAATATCCATTTCAATCCAAGCAATGGTAGTCAACTTGAGATAACCTAACCTAAAGTAATTCAAATTTAATTATATAAGTGATTCCAATAAATACATCAAAGCATACTTTATTGTAGCAAAAATTAACAGGATCACATCATTGAAAATATGAAAACAAATATTTGGAACAATATTACAAGAGGTCGGCATTATATTATTTTTTATCTTTTATTTATAGGCATCCAATGTCTACTTTGAAAGAGTTTGAACCAAACTTTGTGAAACAATTTAGATGCATAAGAACCAATGACAATATCATCTTGGAATTGACAAAAATTAAGCAAGCTAGTCATAAGACAATTTGGCAACAATGACAATGATGGTGGGACATTCTCATTTTGGCATGATGCAATTTTTGGGTGACAAGGAGAACAATAGAAGATTGTATAGATCAATTCATGGATCTTGTAGATAAACTTGATGATATTTTTAGTGATTTCATCAAAACCTTGTGGTTCAAACATGATTTAATACCAAGCATCTAATAAGATATGATGTATATGCAATCCAATAGCATTGAAGAAATGCTTAAAGTAATCAATCTCATCTTGAACTCCTTAAATCACTGAGTGTGGAAATAACAACTCTCCACTATTTATAAGGTTGTCATAGTTCACAAAAAGTGAATTACCTAGACAAGTTTATTCAAATTCTAATTAAATCACCCTTTAATCTTATTAAAACACCCAAATCATTAAGCAAAACCTCTACCAATAACTCACCTCCAATGGCAAATTAATTACAAAATGCATGTCAAGCATTTCCCTCTCTTAATTCTTAATTTTTTTTTATTATTTTTATTTTATTTTATATGAATAAAATTTCGTCCATTTACAAAACTTCATCCATGCATAAATTATCATCCGTGAATCACTTCTCATCTTTGAATAATTTCTTAACTACTCAATTCATTCTTAATTAAACTTCATCTACACTTATTCATCCAAATCCTAATTTGTGCCTTAACCTAATTTACTCTCCCACTTGAGATTGTACAAAGAGGAGTTGTGGATGAACATAGGTCGTCGTCGTTGCCCAGCAAGCTCCATACCCTCTCGAGCAATTGTTACAGTAGATCGCCGCTCCAAGGTTGATGTTCCCGCTCAACTGGTTCGGCGCGCGCAACTTCGAAATGAGCAATCCAATTTTTTAAATCCTTCCTCTAACAGCCGCCTTGAGCCACCTCAAACACAAGAGCATGCTCACAGTGCCGCTGATCTACTACAACCGCAGCTCTTTCCTCTCGATCCGTTGAGCAGCAGGTTCACCAATTGCAGAGATCAAACCACCAGTAGCTCCGACAATGCGTAACTTTGTAAGGACAATCTTGGGCCGCTCCAATCAATCTTGGGCCAAGGAGATTGACTTGCATTACAGCACTACTCCTAAATTGTTGATCCAGCCGCACTCAGAGAATGATAATGGCAACGTTGCCTTGTTGCCAAACACCACTGGTCAACAAGGCGGAGAACAAAAATAACAAGAATTCGGTGCAGGTGATCTTTTATTGCACCTTGCTACACTAACCACGAGCTGAACACTGCCGACACCGCAAGAGGAATTTGACGTAAGAAACACCGGCAATGCTTCTGCACTCTACCAGAAAAAGAACGCCACCTAAGGAAACATATGAACCAGCTTGCTCCTTGAAACCCCAATACAGCAACGTCCACAGCCGCAAAGTCCAGGATTCGCTAACTCCAGTGACCAAGAGGGAATACAAAAGGGAAGTTGGAGGCACCGTTGCAATTCGCAACATTACTGCAACACCAAAATACACAACATCCTTGCCGCAGCACACCGCAACCTACGGAGCTTTGAAAAAAAACACAGCACATGAACGAGAAAACAGAGAAAAGGAGATCTGGACCGCATCGAAGCTCCAGTCGCCACGAGGTCGAACGTCGATGACGAGGGGATCAGCACCGCTGAAACCAACAGCCGCACACAGTGACTGCTGCCACCGCCACCAGATCAGCAACTTCGCGGCGCCAGGGAACCGCTCCACAAGAAAATTGAATTACGGAAATACCGTGACAATTGGAGCCTAAGAAAGAACCTACAAAAAATCAAAACAGGGAAGGATTCTACTCAAACAATGTCGTCGATCTTCTTGACCAATCGCAACTACCTTCACCGGAGGCATTACCACCCAACGTATAGATGTCACCACATGCGGCTGCTCGACAACTGGAACGGGAACGTGAAGACTGGGTGAGCCTCGGATGTACCACACCGCAACCAGCTCAATGCGATGCTAGTCGCATTCAACACTCAGCCGCAACGCACAACCACCACAGCAAAACACCTGGACGGCCAACTTTTGTCGCATCCCCAAAGAGAAGGAAAAAAATCCAAAAAAATAACGTAAACCCAATTGATGTAGCTTCCCTGTACACAGTCATGAGGACGTCGACGACGACTATGACGAAAATCAAATCTCGAGAATGGGAACCACCAACGAAGGGGGTGATGACAAAACAAACTGGAGCACGCCACTCGTTGTAGAACTTCTAAAGCAATTGCAAAATCACGAGCCACTCCACACTATCGACAGCAACCATCGCCTTCAACGACGTCACCCTAGAATACAACCACGCACGCAAGAGCAGAAGAGATATTTATGATCGCACCGAGGATCCAGTAGTGAGAGCTTCTTCCCCGCACGAGAATCGACGTAGGCAAAAAATCCCAGCACTCCGGCTAGCGCCTAAGAGCATCCCAAGAGCTCCACGGCGCCGGAGGAGACCACTGCAGCCCAGCCGCAGCATGCAGGAAGCAGACGCCAGCTCCGGAAGGAAAACGACAGGGCCAAGGGAACGGCAATAACATAACCAAGAAAAAAGCTTCAAGCGGTTCAAGCCGTGACACTACTAAAAGAAACGGAGTTGCAACCTAGACACAACGCAACAACCTCCGCCGCACACACACAAAAAAAAATCCAAGGAGAATTCTGTGGCGATCGTAGCCAGAATTCTCTCTACCGAAAATAAACAAAAAACCCAAAAGAAAAACAAAAAATACAGAGAGGGGGTCCAAGGCGGCCCGGTCCCCTATCGACGGGGAGGCTGCCGCCATTTTTGGGCAACCTCTCGCCCTCCTCATTAACTTCTCATTTTTTTTTATCTCTTCTCTTTTTCTTTTCTGCTTCCTCCTTTTGTCCTTTTGCTTTTTCTAGTTCCTTCTTCTTCCTTTTCAATTTCTTTTTTTTCTTTTTTTTCTTTTTTTAGGATTGATTTGGATCAAAGATTCTTCTTAGATTCTACTCTAATTAAACAAGTCATAATAGTAAAACTACTATTAAATATCAGAATTTATATTAGCTAGTTTAAGGAGAAAATATTTGTTGTAAATTTCTTCTCAAAAATTCTACCAAAGCCCCTTCTTACAATTGTCATGCTAATTTTTTGCTATTTATCTCCAAACTTCTACACTAACTTACTAAAATAGTGACTTTAAACATTGTATGTGCATTTTTTGTACTAAAACATATCAATGAGTCAATTCCATGACTCACATACAACCATAGAATTGGAGGAGGAAATTGAATGCAATACATTCCATCTATAATATAACAAAATATGAGTTGATCCTTATAATCATGCCCATATTTTGAATGTAGAAGAAATCACCAAATCAGTGATTGTGCTCATGCACATCAATAATGGGCAAAATATCATAATCAACAAAACCTATGTTATAAAGAAATAATGATCACAAATATTAAAGAACCACATTTATTGACATCATCAATGATAGAGGCCAAGTATGCTATGAAAAGTACCCAATGTTGTGAATAACTTAATCATTAGGTGAAACAAGAAAGAAATGATTTTATTATAGAGAAGCTTAAATTAAAATATTTTAGCAAATTATCTTAGAAATATAATTAATAGACAAAGAGATAATAAAAATTAATAAGTGCTAATATTACTTTCTTATAAAAGAGACTTCTACTTACTTTATAGGAGTATAAATGAAACAAATAAAAGTAAATGAAATAAATAATTAATATGGACATGTTTAAAAGAGATTTAAGAATAGTTTTTAATAATTATTATTTCAAAATACCAAAAATTGATACTAAAAAAGGACCAGATGTGAATCTAAGTCAAAATCAGATTTTGAAGCATGAAATTGTGTACCTATAGCAATTCCAAGGTTTTTTTGGTTGATTAAAGAGTGGGATTTGGGAGAAAACTTTTAATAGGATTTTTGAAAGTTAATTCATGTAATTTGAAGGCATATTGAGGTTTTGAGTACTTTTCAAAAAGAAAGATATATCCAATGGGTTTGGATTTTGAAATACAAAGAAGTTCAAAATTTTGAGGATATTATGAGTGTCATAGTATATTTATAAATGAAATTATTTTAGTCTATAATTGAGTTTGTCTTAAATTTGTTTGAAAATTTTGATATTAATCAAACAATAAGGTTATGGTCTTAGACAATTAAAATTTAGAATCAATGAAGGTTTTTAAAATCTCACAACATCCGCCAATTTGATTAAAGCAAAAATTGGTGAAAGAAATTTAGACTTAGAAATCTATACACCAGCCAATTTTTGAATTAATTTAATAATTTAATAAGGAGAAATTACTATTAGAAGATCAATATTCAAATTAGAGAAGAGAAGCGACTAACATCCAAGAAGTTTTAGGAGCATTTTTTTCAATTGATGAGTTTGATTCTCTTCAAATTTTGTGTGTTTTTTACTTGATTGTGGATTGAAATATAAATGAAAGCTTAGTTAAGATTGACTACTTTATTAATATTTATTAAAATTTTAAAATAGCTTTAGAAAGTGATTAAGATTTATTTAGAATTTTCTTTGGATTATTTAGAATTTAGGATTTTATTAGGATTTCATTAGAGTTTGATTTAGAATTTAGAATTTAGTAGAATTGGTTTAGAATTTTATTATGATTTGGCAAGGATTTAGAATTTGTTTCAAATTTGGTTAGGATTTTATTAGAATTTTATTAGGATTTAATTAATCTTTTGGTTAGAATTGATTTAGGATTTTATTAAGTTTTATTGAAGATTACATAAAACTTTGATTAAGAATCATTTAAGATTTTTATTTTTAATATTTAAAAAAGATTTTATATTGATATTTCTTTAGGATTTTTTATTATATACATTTCATTAAGGTTAGTTTATAATTTCTTTATGTTTTATTTGAAATTTCTTTAAGACTTCTCTTGACATTTCATTGAAAGATTGATTAGCATTGTTATAATTTAATTGGAATTTGTTTAGGATTCTATTAGAATTATTAAGATCTTGTTGTTATAATTTTTATTTTATCTTCTTCAGACAAGAGCCCAATATATTCTCAAGCAAATTTCATAAAATATGACATTAAGCTAACTAATGCCAACCTGAAGTACCTACAAAAGAAAAACAAGAATCTTACTTCTTTTATGATATAAAGCATTGGAAGTTGCTTGAAAAGATTTGCAAACAAATACTACATGATCTATGCACAAACAAGGTCACAAAATCAATTAATACCAATGTCAAAGAAATTGCAATATAGAATATATGTAACAATATTGCAGTTATAATTTTTTTTGCTTAGTTATTCAAAGTGAATCTTGAAATATTAACATATGTAAAACATAAGACATGGCCCAAACCATCACCACAAGTGGTTGCAAACTTAAATGCCATAGCTATAGATCTAAATGTTGTAATTATTGAGATTCATATTCAAAAGCATCAACTAATTAATATATTGGTGGATAAGAGATTGGTATTAATGTCATAGAAAATTATATTTGTAAGTTCTTTAAACTTTTTAAATCCAAGGTTGTATCATTTTTACTCTATATGAAAAATAATGCTTAGATCAAGCTCCTCAGAATATTATAAAATATAATTATATCCACCTAAGATATCTATATATCAGTTATTTTTATTAATAATTGAGATTTCTATTAAAAGTCACTTCTTGGACATCATAAGAAGGCTATGGTTATAAGATATGAATGCATTTCAAAATTGATTTAGCAAAAACATCACCATTCATTGCCAATATCTATACATGCACATTTGTGTCAATAATTGCATCATTTAAGAAAAAATCTCAATGACTCAATAAATCATGGATAATAATTGGACTTCCAAATTAAATCTAGATTAAAAAGAGCTTATGTATGCACTCGAATCTTACTTGATTTTTGTCAAGAAAGTAAATCTTATAGTCATAACAAACCACAAACAATTTGATATATCTCCAAATTTTAATTTTGAATTCCAAGTTTAGTTTGTCATTAATAAAAAAATTAACATATAATAAACTAGAAGGACAAACAATTACAAGGTGGATACATAGTTTAAAAAAAAAACAAAACTTATTAATCTTGAGACACCCTCAAAACTTAAACATATCAAAATAAACATTAATGTATCTAGTGACATAAAAACCATTGCAATTATATTATTTTGTAAATATCAAAACATATTTGCTTAATTAGAAGAAGATTTAAGAAAAATACTTGTAAAAATAAGAGATCATTTGATTGATCTTGTTCCAAATACCACTCCAATTTATAGATGCAATATCAAATAAACTCCAACTACATTCAAACTATGAAGCAAGACCTAGACAAACTTGTACAAGCCAAATTTATTTTGCTTGTGGATTTTGCTCCATGGTTGTCATCCATGGTAATCATCTCAAAAAAATCATGAGCTTTAAAAATTTGTATAGATATCTATTGATTAAACATTGCTACAAAAAAAGATCATTATCACTTTTGTATAAGAAATAATTTATTGACGAGGTAGTAGCCACAAGATATATTGCTTTATAAATTATTTCTCAGAATACTACTAAGTGGCTATGGCTATAGAGAACAAAAATAAAATAGTATTTTTTACAAATAAGGACGATTTTAATTCAAATAAATTTCGTTTGGTAAAAAAAATATACCAATTACATTCCAATGCATGATGGAATTTGTATTTAAATCATATTTCTAAAAATTCTTTCAAATATACTTTGATGATAGAATGATCTATGGATCTAAGGAAAAACACATTCAACATATACAACAAATCTTTGAATCTTGTCAAAAATATGACATCAACCTCAATACAAATAAATATATATTTGTATTCTCTTTTGGGCTTATAGTTGGATGTATTATTTTTTATTTGGAAAAATTTCCAAATCTTGAAAAAATCAAATAAATACAAAATATGCTTACACCTTGCAATCAAAAAACCATATAAAGAATTTATAAGATTACTTAATTTAACAAATATTTATAAAAAATCTAACATACTTAATCTTGCATGTATCCAAAATTAATAAATCTGAATATAAATACAAGCTACATTGACTTATGGCAGCTGCCAAAGCTTTTGAGGAAGTCAAATATATATACACCAACCATCCAATATTGCTAGTACTAATTGGCAACTTCAATTTTGAATATACATTGACACATCTAATGTTGTTATAGGAATAATGCTTGTAAAAAACTATACAAAAAAAATAGATGAATATGTATTTCATGTAAGTTGAAGGTTAAACACAAAAAAATAAAATTATTTGACCATGAAACATGAGGCTTTGGCAATGGTCTATGTCGTAAAAAAAATATAAGTACTATTTGCTTGGAAATAGATTTTAATTTATCATTAATTATCACATATTATTCCACCTAATGAATCAACTTATAATTACTTTATGCATAGTTCAATAGATAATGTTGTTTATGGAATATAATTTCAAAGTTGTTCACATCTCCAAGAAATAAAACATAAGTATCAAATATCTCTCAAGAGCTCTCTATACAACACCAGATTTGAGTATCAATGAGTTGTTTTCAAATCCATAATTATGTAATATTATTGTGGATGTAACCTTATTCACAAAAAAATGAATGCATAATATAATCGCATATCTAACTTTCAGACATACCTCATCTATATTTACAAGATTTTATTAATTCAATTTTTCATACCAAGTATTATTATATACTTATATTTATGATAAATTATATAAACTTGAGATGGATTATATTATCCAATTATACGTCTCA